AAATATTCGCCCGCCTTTCATTCGGCGCGCCGCGCCGCCGTTCAGAGCCGTTTTCGCCGTTTGGCGCCTCTGGTCGCGCGTTGTTCTCGTATTATCCGAAAATTTTTCCGGTGTCGATGGCCTGTAATTCGAGCGAACGACCGCCGCGCGCCGGTTAAAAGGCTCGCAACCTGCCAGCCGGCCCGCTTCCCGTTCATAAATTTGTTCGGCCCCCCCCCCTCTCTCTCTCTCTCTTTTTATCCATCCACTTGTCTGTCGATCCCCCTCGCTCTCTCGGTCTCTCTGCTTCCTCTTTTATCGCCGCCGCGATGCATGCGATACGTTCGGTGAAACGCGCGCGCGCGCGCGACACTTGACCTTCCGCACTCGCGACGAAATATTTCATCGTGTTGGTCCGACAGCGGCGCCGCGTGCGACAGAGGGTTTTTAATTACTCCAACCGCGCGGATAGAATGTCGAATGAAGTCGCGAATAAATCGCCTAATAAGACTTTCGTTTCGGTGCCCTTGCGTGACACCGTCGCGCGCTCTCGCGCGCCCTCGCGTGATTTACCGGGATACGCGCGAATATAAGGGCGCGTTTCGCTGCGAAAGCAGCGCCCTTCATGAGGAGAGAAAGATTTCGCTATTGTTATGCAACTCTCATCTCGTTACGTCGACGCGAAAAACAAACCGAGTACAGGTATAGTCCGAGTCGCTGTTACAGTTGCAGATTGCAAGTTGGGTAACGGGGCCGGAGGACCATTAACATTAATGACCGCCTCAAATTGCCGCTTTCACGCATCGCTTGTTCCTGGGAAAATTAGCATGTTGTTTAAAATTCGACTTGAAAGTCGCTTTGAAACGTGAAACTGGGCCATAAGTTTCTCAGGTAGAAAACGCGTAGAAGCGCGCGCGCGCGCGAGAAGGATAGAGAGAGAGAGAGAGAGAGAGAGAGGGGGGGAGGGGGAGGGATAGCGAGAGAGGAAGAGAGTCGTCGATGCCGGGGCGTGGACAAAGTGGTCATATTTCGCAAGTGTCCCATGTCTACCCTTTTGTCTTTTCCCCAGCGGCAACCGTTGAAAGCAGCTTGCTGTAAGCGGATATTCTATTTAGGAAAAAAAGTCGCGAACGCGCTTGTTCCTTGCTCCTCTATATAAAACAGTTTATCGACCGGAGCTGTCCCCCTTTCGCCGTATGGATCTCTCTCTCCGCTTCGTTTGAATATGCAAACTAATTTATTTCCAGTACCCTTTCCACGAATCCGTCGATACGGTATCCTTAGTGCGCTTGACTTAGCGAGACGGGCACGACGACCGTATACAAAATTTCTCCAAGAACGACGGGGGCAGAAGGCGGGGGTGCAGAGGGGAGGGAGCTCAATTCGCGCACGCTGCACCCATACGTGTGCTTGCTTCTTCGATTCGAATGCGCGACGCCGCGTTTACCGCGAATACCAGCGACGCAGCTTCCTCGGTCGGTGGAGAGAGAGAGAGAGAGAGAGAGAGAGAGAGAGAGAGAGAGAGAGAGAGAGAGAGAGAGAGAGAGAGAGAGAGAGAGAGAGAGCAAGAGCGAGAGAGAGAGAGAGAGAGAGAGAGAGAGAGAGAGAGAGAAGAAACTCTCCTCATGGAAAATCACGTTGAAGTTTGAAAAATTCGATGGCACGCTCGAAACAGACTGAAGTTCACTCGAGGGAGCGCCGGGTGGACGGCTGCAATTGCTCACGGAACGTATCTTCCTTCTCCCCAGCGCGGCGAACAGATTGTCAGAAACCGTCGGATCGTTCGTTAAAGTGGAAAATCACGCGCGCCAGATTTACCTCGATTTCATATATCTTTCTTTTTCTCCCTCTCTCTCTCTCTCTCTCTCTCTCTCTCTCTCTCTCTCTCTCTCTCTCTCTCTCTGTCTCCCTCCCTCTTTGCCCCTGTCTTCCTCTCTTTCATTTCGCCGTCTGCCGACGCCGCGCGCTAGCAGCTTGATTTATCGCGAGACGTGCGGTGTTGTTGCCAATTAAACATTGAGAATTACAGATGCCCGCGATATCGAATTTCCAAAGTATCAAAGAAGGATCCTGCATAGAACGTTTTCTGCGGTTTCATCCGGGATCCGATATGATTTTCCGAAGTCTGCGCAGATTTGTGTTGCGAGTGTTGCGTTTCAAGTACGCGATTCCTTACGCGATGGGAGGATATTTTCGTTGAGTAACATGATGTATTAATAATGTGTTAAGTAATACATCGTGCTGTATCGCGTAGCCGGACTGTGTTCACATCGAAATATAAATTATACATTCACAGCAATTAATTAATAATCTGTTCGGATCCGTCTTTTTCATTTTGCAGTACGACACTCGTATAATCGCACTCATAAAATACCTTTCCGATTATCTCCGAACGCCTCGAATAATATGAATATATCTTGACCGACAAACTAGTATGGTACATTCTCAATATACGAGTGTTAATATTTCCCAGAAAAATTCCCCGCGTATAAATGGGAAAAAATTCCCCCGATATTTTTCCTGCTGTTCATTTTTACACCAATTTGGGAAGTGAACCTTGTTCCTCGTGTGGACGATTGTTCCCTCACTTTTTAGCTCACTTAGCGTTAATTTATTTTTATCTTTGGTTTCGATCACATTTGTTGTATTTGCCATCGAGCTTTCGTCGCTGCAGCGGCGTTCATGTCCCTCCCAACTCTTCAGCAATATCCCGCATTTATAATGAAAACTGCATAACGGGGTCCGGACAAACATTAAAAACGTCTCTCGGCCGTTGGGAGATCGTTTGAAATCCTTTGTTACCCAAGGAATATAAAATTACGTACCGAAACGGGCAGAGGGTTTTTTCTCTCTCTCTCTCTCTCTCTCTCTCTCTCTCTCTCTCTCTTTCTGGCTCGCCCATAAAATGTAAACGGTCTTTGTACTAAATGAAAAGTTAAAGTGGGAATATTTATAATTAATGCTAGAATCAATTTTACCTTTTTATTCTACTGGCTACGTTAGTCGGCTCGAATATGGGATTCTGTTGGATACCATACAGACATGTCGACTAAAAGAAAAAAAAAAAAAAAAAAAAAGAAAGAAACACAACTTCCCATAACATTTCTTCCCGACTCGGTTGATGTCGGATGACCGATTTTTAGGACAAATTTGAGATTCTTAGTTGGAACCTACTAGCAATGTTTGTGGGAAAATCCTGAGGAATTTCTACGCGGGGTATTGTTTCAGACAGTTCTCGGAGCGAAGCAACACATTAATTCGGAGTGTTCAGTCGGCTCGTGAGAAACAGCCGATCGGGAGAGTCGCGAATCCTAATTACGTCCTAAATCCACATATTAATGCCACTCGCTCCGTCGCGCCGTCAGATATCGGGCAGCCCTTAGCGAGTACTTTTCTCTTAACGCGACCTTAATTACCGTTTAGCCCGTAGAGTTCGCATCAAATACACGGCCTTAATCATTATGGCGTGCTATTCAAATTCGTTCTAGTTAGTTTGCGCAGCTGTGCTCTCGCCTCATTTCTTCTTCTCTCTTTACATCTGCTTTTCCATCCGCGTGCGTGCGCGCGCGGCCGCGGATGAGAGGGCGAGAGGGAGGGAGGGAGGGAGGGAGGGAGGGAGGGTGAGAAGTGAAGAGAGAAACCAGAGGGGGAGGGGAAGGGCGAGAAGAGAGTGTAAAAGTAAGTTATAGAAATTTATTCGTTCCTGGCGCGCTTCGCGCGTCCCGCCCTCAAAGCCCGCTCGGAATTTTTCGCCAACTGTGGGCCACCGCGATATATTTTTCCATTTTGCGATATGTCCGACATGTCTACACAGAGTATGAACTCTAACGGTAGATTCTATGTTGAAAAAGAAATAAAACGGCCTTGCTAAACACACGCCCGCGAAGACTTGGTTCTCGAAATCGTAATCTTCGGAAGATGACGGAACAACGAGAGAAAATGTGGCGCGATAAACCGCTAAAAAAAGAAAAAAAATATATATATATATATTAAATGAATAAATAAAAAATATATATTACTTTCCCTTGACATCACGGATGCCTGGCACTTTCGAAGAGCTTGCGGATACGGCAGAAGTTTTGAGCAATTTTTACAACAGTATGCGTCTTAAAATTATTTACTTGTAAAGCAGGATTTAGCGAAAAAATATATTTTCCTTTTACAAAGACCGTTTTGCTCACGTTTCTACTCAGAATCTATTCCGCGACTATCGATGGAGATCGGACGCACCCTTTACACGAAAATTAACAACGCGATTATTGATCTGATTATTGACAGAAGTACGAAATGGTTGCGACGGGGTAATCTTTCCGCTTGTGCCGGCAATAAGAGAGGCGCATCCGGACGTGGTATGGAAAATTTCGATTTCGCCGGTCTCGTACGGGCAACTTGTTACGTGGCGATCACGATCAGCGCGTTATTCTCGCCGCGATGACTCGTCGCAATCGCGCAGTCTCTTAATACGGATTCTCGGAGCGCGTGACGTCTAACAAAACGCGGTGGACCGGGGAGTGGAGCGGGGCGGGGCAGGGGCGGGAGAGAATCTCGCTTTAGAATCGTGTTTATCGGCGAGAAACGACGCGAGGAGAGCATCGCGGCTGAAACTCGCGAAAATGCCAGGTACGGCGCGCGGGGTGCGGGGTTCCCCTCCCAGCGCGGCGACGAGGCTGAAAATCGCGACGCGATTTGCGCGAGGTGCCCTCGCGGAGGCGGGATCGCGACGATAAATTTCAGGAAGTGTATTACGAGCCTCTCTCTCTCTAATGGGGATTATGCATCGAGGCTGAAGATAAATTGAGGAAATCCGACCTGACAATTCCGTCTGAAAAGCGCCGATGTTGCGCGGATTGCAGTTGACACGCGAGATTACGGAAGAGCATCTCGTAAATTACGGGCAACCCGTTCGCGCTATTATGCCCCGCCGAATAGTGGTTGCGTAAATACAGCCCGGCAGATATAACCCATTCTTTCGATCGTCAGCGTATTACGGAAGCTATAAAAGGCGGCGCGCAACGAGGCGGCCTCGTTGCGCCGTCAAAATGTGGCTTGACAAGCTCGTGTTTTGCGCGTTCGCGCTCGCGTGGGCCGAAGCCCAGCAGAACGTCCAATTGGAGGTCCCGCAGGGCTTCCTCAAGGGCCTCAAGGCCAGCACCGTGTCGCAGGACAAATCGTACTACAGCTTCAAGGGAATACCCTACGCGAAGCCGAACGTCGGCCTCGAGAAATTCCAGGTAGGTCCGTCACGCCGATCACGTCGGCGACGCATTCTCTCTCTCTCTCTCTCTCTCTCTCTCTCTCTCTCTCTCTCTCTCTCTCTCTCGCCGCGCGCGCGCAACGCGACCGACGCGCGGCGACCCGTAGACGAGCGTCGTCTCAAGTCGCGCTCTGAATCTTCAAGATGCCCGAGGCGGCCGAAGCCTGGGAAGGAACGTACGACGCGACCTACCATCGCTCCTCCTGCCCCCTCTTCTGCACGATACAGCAGGACATGATCGGCGAAGAGGACTGCCTCTACCTCAACGTTTACACCCCGATATTGGACAAAGATGCGCGCATGGCCGTGATGGTCTGGTTCCACGGCGGTAACTTCAACGGCGGCTTCGGCGACGACATGATGTTCGGGCCCGACTTCCTCGTCGAGCACGACGTCGTCCTCGTGACGCTCAATTACAGGCTCGGCCCTATCGGCAAGTAGAGCGCGTCGGGGAATCGGCCCCGGGGGCTCGCTTAACGCGCCGCGATTGCGTTTGCAGGATTCTTGAACACCGGAGACGAGAGCGCGCCCGGCAACGCCGGTCTCAAGGACCAGGTGATGGCGCTCAAGTGGGTCAAGGACAACATACACTACTTCGGCGGCTGCCCCAACCGAGTGACCATCTTCGGCCAGGACGCGGGCGCGAGTTCCGTGCACTTGCACATGATGTCGCCGATGTCCGACGGTGAGAGAGAGAGAGAGAGAGAGAGAGAGAGAGAGAGAGAGAGAAGAGAAGAGAGAGAGAGAGAGAGAGAGAGAGAGAGAGAGAGACGCATATCCACTCGCGCGACCGGGATGACGTCGTCGCAGCGTCGTCGACGTGAACGCGAACGTCGAATGTTAACGCGAGTCTGTGATTGCGCGAACAGGCCTGTTCAACGCCGCCATCCAGCAGAGCGGCAGCGCGGTCAACACGTGGGCGATATCTTACAATCCCCGGGAGGTGGCTTTCAAGCTGGGCAAAAAGCTCGACATCGAGACCGACGATTCCGCCGAGCTGGTGGCCAAGCTCGCCGAGTTCAGCCCGAAGGAGCTCATCTCGGCCAGCGAGGAGCTGATGAAGACTGAGGTATGGCGCGTCAAGTAAGCACGCGACGACGGCGACGGCGACGACGACGACGACGACGACGACGACGACGACGACGACCAAGCGGAACTAATCATCGGCTGCTCGACAGCCTAATTGACGACTCATTGACGACTCGACGATGCGGGAAACACATCCACATACGCCTGTTTTGCATTACGCTAATGAGCACCGGCGGGGCCACCCGGCAATCACGTAACTCGCGCAATTGCAGAACACGATGAACGGCCGCTTCATGGCCTTCCTGCCGTCGGTCGAGACTGACTTAGGTCAAGAGGTATTCCTGCCGGCCGACCCGTGGACGCTGCTCAAGTCCGGAAAGATCGCCGACGTGCCGGTCATGGCCGGCATCACCGCCGACGAGAGCGCCTTCTTCGTGCAGAGTAATTCGCCCGGGCGCGATCTGAGTCGTTACGCGCCTAATTATCCGCGAGAACGGCACCGGCGCACGTTCGTCCGTTTGTTTTTTGTTTCTCTTTTCTTGCAGTGATGCTCGGTAATATCGACCAAATGAACGAGCATTTCGAGAACTTCCTGCCCGACGACCTCAACGTAACCGACTCCGGCCAGAGGAAGGAACTGGGCGACAGCCTGAAGAGCTTCTACTTCGGCGATAAGTCCATCTCCACCGACACCACGAAAGAGTTCATGATGGTGAGTGCTCAACGCGAACTATCCCGTCCCGAAACTGCGTCGCGAAACTTGCAGCTCGAGCAGCGCGCGAGTTAACGACGTTCGCGTTAAAACTGTTTGTGCATTTTAGATGTTGGACGACGTGATGTTTGACACCGCGACCGCGCTCACTTTAGACGTATTAAGCACCCGAATCTCGTCGCCAATTTACGAATATATATTCTCTTACGAAGCTCCCTTCGGCATGATGAAAAGTATGTTCCACGTGGAAGACGGTGAGTGACGACGGCCGCGGAGAGAAGCTTGCCTCGCATAGAAAATTCCCAGGATCTTCCCAGGCTTCGCATGAATTCCGAAATTTGTTCCAAAACTGCTCGTCCGCGCTCTCGCCCCAAATATGCGTTTTCCGCTTGGGAATCGAGACTCGGGATGGCTTTGCGCTTCTGTCGGGTAATATTTTAGCGGCGTCAAACGGGGAATCTCATTTTTACACGAACTCTCGCGTTCAACGGAATGGAAAATAAAAAATCGAACGTAAAATGATGAAGAGCGGAGGAAACACTGACGGGGGTGGTGGACTTTGGGTTTCTTCTCGCTTAAAATTCTCGCGAAAATTAACGATTTTCTCAATCTTGGAACCTGCGCGGACCTGTCTGTAAGAAATTTTCTCTGCGGAGCGCGAAGCTCGGAAGAATCTCGCGCTGCGGAAGAAGACGGTGGGTGGGGACCAAGTATATCCAGGTTTTATTTAACCGTGTTTATTTACGCCCAACCAACGCTTCCTCAAACCACAGGTGTCGCCCACGGTGACGAGATGACCTACGAATTTTATTCCAACGCGCTGAAAAACCTGCCGCAGAGCGGCTCGCCCGCCGAGAAGATGATGCGCACCTTCACCACCTTGTTGACGAACTTCGCGAAGAATGGGTACGTGTGCCGCCGGGTGGTCGTCGTTCATCCGTCTTGCATCCGAGATCGGGCGAAATCACAAACGCGTAGAGCGAGAGACGCAAGCCGGAAGACTCTAATTGTAACCATTTCAGAAATCCCACGTCGCACTTGGACGATTACGTGAACATAAACTGGGAACCCCGAGGCACAGAAGACAACTACATGGAAATCGATCAGGATTTGAAGATGAAGCAAGGCCTGTTGCAGGACAGGCTGGACTTCTGGAAGAATATGTACAGAAATGTCCTCGGCTAAGTGCAGCACACACATGTAAATCGATGTAAATGACGCATGCAAATGTAGCAACCTGTACGCCTTATGCGAATATATCGACTCAATCAAATATGGAGAAAGTGACGAGTAGTCGTGCGATTGTCTTCGTCTTCCGCTTCGTATCGCGGTGTACGCGTATGTACGGCACACATGCGCGTGCATATAATATGTATAATATGTACAATGGCAATGTGTAGAGAGTTTGTGTGCAGATATATCTGTGCAATAAAATTGATCAATGGAAAGCGCACCCGTGAGATCCTCGCCGCCCGAGAAAAGGAACATCGTCGGAAACAACACGGTCGATTAAATCCTCGTCGGGCTGTGAAGCATTTAATTAAAAGCAGCGATTCAATCCCCCGGATTTGATATTAATCGTTCATCGGCGTACGCGGATGAGAGGGATGAGCGTTTTCTCGCCGCGATTTTCGCACCGCGTCGCCGGATTTCTCCAAGCTGGTTACTCCGCAAACCCCGTTCTCTCAGCGATCCTTTCGAATTTCAACGGTATATTGATAGAAAACACGATCCACATGATACACGCGTCGATACGTTTAGGAAAAGATCAATCGCGTAACGAGAAACTCAGATAAAGTTCAAGTCAAAGTGCACGCGCGCCGCATGAACGAAATGAATACCGATATCGCGCGATATTTTTGTCTCTTTTTATTCGGGCGGCCCAAGCGCTAATACCGCGACCGCGCCGAGTACATAAAGAAACCGTCAGCTTGACGACAGGTCGAATGCGACTGTGATGAAAACGTCGCCGCCGCGCACCGCCAAATAGCTTATCCGGAGTTTCCACGTCAATCAAATTTTCGGTTAAAATACCTTACCTAAACTCGGGCCATGACGCAAAACGCGGCACTCTTTTTTATTATTTATCTTTAAATACAGATATACCTATTTTTGAATGTTGGCGCAACTTTTCCTTTGCGACTATTTTTATTTAAGATGACCGCGGTCAATGGGAATACACGGAGAAACATTTTTTGCTTGAATTCTCTCCAGTGAAATATAAACGATCCAAAAATTTCAATTTGAAGATACCAGAATTTTGTTTAAATTAACCATAAATCTCAATAATTTAAGACTGGATCCTTGGATAAAACTTCAATCGGAATTTCCGTATCGTTTATATTTCACCAGAAAATTGTTCCGTTCAACCAGACATTCTTCTCTGTGCTTTATCAATTTTGAGACCTCTTGATATAATCCGCAAGAAATGTAAGAAAAAATTAATTTTCCAGTTTATATAATGAAAATTAAATTTCCGTTACGTACATAATGGAAATTGAATTTCTATCATGTACGTAATGAAAGCACCTGACGTTTCTATTATGCGAATAATTCGATTTTAACTTGTGCAGTAGATATGAATTTTATGAATTATATCTATATTTTTTATGAATTTTGACATGCATAATCATCTTAGATGATGCAATGTTTTTACGTAAAAACGCTATTACTGAACGATATTTGGAAGATTCAAACGATTTACAGTGCGAGAGAATATATTTAAAGGATCTTAATATATTCTAATATAATCTGAGAACGCCGGAGTTTTTGAGTCTCGATGTTAAATATAAGTTTTTCTCAATTTTTCATCCGGATATCAATAATAGCGTACAGTTATTATTAATTGCATTGCTAAAACCAGCATAAAGCATGCTAAAACCAAAATATTACGGGAAAAACCGGTAACGTGAATCGCTATCGACTTTTCGGTCGGAAAAGAAAACAAACTGTAATCGCTTGACGATTTTTACAAACATTACTTAAACATATATTTTCTGTATTTATTTAGATATCCTAAATCAAATAGCAGATTTTTTAATTGTTTCGTAATAATATTGTTCATTACCTTCCAGCGGAGGAAGAATTAAAATGTATAATTGCTTGACAATTTTTCCACAATTTCCCTTCTGTTTTTGATAAATACTGTCTGGATATTCGGCAACTTTCGTTCGAGTCTATTTTTAAGCTATCTATTTTTAAACAAAATATGTTTTCGAAATAACGCACACGTTCTTTTGCAGGCGATTTTCCTACGACATATATTTATACGGTCTCTGATAGGTTAAATGTGTTCCAACTAGTTTTGACCTTCTCTGCTGCATACATGTGCGGCTATCGGCGCGCACGATATTTTTACACGCATGCATAACGCCGCTGCTAGCGGCCTTAGCCAAAAGTGCTGCGCGTCAAAACGCGAGAGAAACTGTTATTTCTTCACGGCTTTTCAAATATCGCGCAATTCTTCCGCGGCAAAGTTGCACGAATTATATTTACAAGCGTCTAAACACGGACTTGTCGCATTTCTTCGCGTCGTGTCGATATTGATTACTGACTTTCCCAGCGACGATTAATGCGACCTATTTTCGCCGGAGCGGTCGAAACGACAGGTTTTCGCGGAAATGCGTCAAACGGGGGACAAACATATTTATTTATTCCTTCGGTTTCATTCAACATCCAATGAAAATATAAAACGCGTCGCTATATAAATTCATACATAAATTCAATGGGCTTTTTGCAAGAAATGACAAAAACCGCTCTCGCTCCGAACGGAGCGTTTTTAATAGCGACGGTAACGCGAAAGTGGGCCACCAGGGGGGTCGAAGAAGCGTTTCGCGATTCCACCGATTGACGACACCGCGCCGCCGCTCATCCTCGCGAGAGCCGTCGCCGTCGCTCGGCGGCTCGCGGCTACGTCTGTCGCGGTAAGTGAAATCGCGCGAGCTGGCCAGAGAACGTGAGGTCCGTATCTGAAATAGCGGAATGTTGATACGGCTCGGGGGCTAGAGCCTTAGCAGTTGGTTACCGCGGTCGAGATTGGCAATTTGTTGTATCCCGCGCGGCTCCGCCACATATATACACACACACACACACACACACACGCACACACAAAACACGCTCGCTCGCAGGTATCTCTCTGCGGCCGAGATATATCTGACGCGCGGTCACGCACGCACACGTGTTATACCGCGTACGCGCGCGCCATGAACGAGCGAGCGAGCGAGCGAGCCCGCGAGCGGACGTATCGGATGAAAGGAAAATTTATGCCTTGTCAGAGCGTTACGAGCCAAATGGTAACAAATAGGACCGGTGTTGGCGGTGGCGGCAAGAAACTCTTCTGTCGCTATCGCTTCGGACGCTCGCGCCGCCGCCGCCGCGGCGGTCGCACGTCGCCGTCTGCCGTATATACCGTAAACAATTCGCGAATAATCGCGCGGAATGAGAATTATTGCGGCGAGCGGGCCGCGCCGTTGCAGCTGTTGCTCCCTCTCTCTCCCCTCTTCCTCACCCCCCCTCTCTCTCTCTCTCTCTCTCTCTCTCTCTCTCTCTCTCTCTGTCTCTCTTTCTCCCTCGCTCTTCTCCATACCGCCTACATCCTTTTTCATACGGGACCGCGGAAAGTTTTCGTATAACGAGGTGAAACCGCCGGCGCTGCGAGTTCGCGAACGAAATTACGCGCTTGTTTCGGCGAGAACGAATAAGCGGGAACTTTTGTCCGCCAAGTGCGGCCGGACGGGTGTCCCGCCGGCCGCGGCGCGGCGCGGCGCGGCCTGCGCCCGCCGCGACGGCGTGAATGAGAACGAATGAACGGCCGCGGGAAACGCTCGGGAAACATTCGCGCCCGCGAGGAACGCGCTCTCTTTCTCTCCGCCAACAGCGGAACACATCAAGCGTCCGAAATCCTGCCCACCTTCACGTCCAATCTCGACTCCCATTTATATTCGAGCTAAACAATTCGCTGCTGGCCGGTGCAAATTTGCCTGACACTTCTGTCAGTCTGGCCTGCATCGCGCGATAATTGCTCATGATGTAATCGTGATCTCTCGTCTTGCGTATACATACTCCCTCTCTCTCTCTCTCTCTCTCTCTCTCTCTCTCTCTCTCCCCTTCTCTTTCTTTCCAACTTGCTCTTTTTATCAGTCCCCTCGCGCCCCATAAACTTCATACACTGCATCCGGTTCATTCTCTTCTCTCTCTTACTTCGCGTCGTTGTTTTTCTCAATTGCAACTTTCCCTCCACTCCTCCTACGCGAATCTCAATAATACTTATCGCCGTGTTTACTCATTACTCGAGCAAAAAATTGTTGGGGTCATCCTCATGAAGCATAGGGCCCCGATAAGGCTGAAAGTAAGACATCCTAAAAAGGGATGCCTCGTTATTACCACATCAGGCTTCGAGATCTTCTTTTAGGAATACTTTAGATTTTATGAAATAAGGTTTTGAGAAGGAAAACTGAGAAGGAGAATGATCTTAGAAGGATTTATTATTAGAGATGCCTTACATTTAATAAATAAGGCTTTGATACGGAAAGCTGATGTGGGCCTTAGAAGGATCTTTTAAGATTTAGATATACAAAATACAAGTTTTGTTATAGAAAATTAAGAAGATCTAAAGCGTAATAAAATTATTATAGTTTAGTATTGTTTTAGTAGATATGCTCTATCTGCTTCTTTAAAAAATTTTTTAATTATACCGCAATTAAAAACAAATTTTATTAGTTTTATTGGTTGCCATATTCATTAGTCTCTTCCAAGGACTTTTCTAGTATCACCTTCATTTGGAAATGCAGCAAATTTAATTTAAAATAAAAACAGTAGCAGGATTTTTATGTATAAAGAATGCTATATTTTATATCGTAAAGTATTAGCTATATTTTTAAAATAAAAAAATTCTTGTTGTATACTAACGAGGATATAAAGAAGAAATTACAGTCTAAATTTCTTGGAATAAAAAGAACGAATATTTTTACTCACGCAATAATAAAAATATTTCTTTATAAGGCCCTATTAACACTATGACACCGCTTTGGTGTCATGTGAACATTTTCACGCAAATGCCGGTGACACCACATTGATGTCGCGTGCAAAGTTATCGAACAAACGCCGGTGACACCACATTGATGTCGCGGTGTATAAAGCTATCGAACAAATGCCGAGATATTGAGATATTGATATAAAATATTAATATTGAGATTAGTGAAACAAGACATTTTACGATCTCTCGAAAAACGCCGGTGACAGGCGGTAGGATCTACACACGAGACCTACCGGCGCCAGACAAAAAAATCTTGCTCACACGGACGTCAAAGCGGACGTCAAAGCGTTAATATCGCCTTATAAGGACCCGTTGAACCATTTGCTACACACCTTGCAGGGCCCTTATTTTTCTATCCCTCCTAGGGCTCGATTAATGTTAGGCAAAAAATAATCACGCCCTTACCAGAGCCCC